ATGCCAAAATGGCAAAACCTCAAAATGCAAAACTCTGCCAAAACTCTAATAAACAATTAATGTGTAACCTGCTGAAATCCTGCTGATTGATTTCTGGAGGAGTTTCGGCAAGCAACCTTAATCCTGACTGTGTGTTGTAAGATAGTGGAATCAACAGTAAGTCAGTAGGCAAAGTAAGTCCTAGCTGTGTGTTGGATACTAAAATAGCTTATCAAATAGGAAACTCAAATTGCACACTTGCAATAACAAGAATTCTGAAAAAATACTTAAATACTGAAGTTATTAATCCAGATACCAAAAGACATAAAATGTAACAGTCCCTGAACTTGAACTAGCCATCAAAGTATTTATTTTAATCAAAACAGAACCATCTTAAATGAAGCTATTTTAATCAAAAAGCCAAATAAATAGCAAATGGATTGGGAATTTCAGAAGGAACAATGACATTTTCTCTGTATGGCTCTATAAATTCAAAAGACATAATGGAATTAAAGAAAGGAAGCTTCAATGAGAGGAATAATCAGCTGATCTAAATGCAATAATTGGAGCCTTGCCATTGTTAAAAGATAAATGTGCAAGCTATCTGCTTGAAAGAATATACAATATGGATGAAACAAGTCTTTTTTATAGATTAGAACCAGATCAAATGTTAGCTACACAAGACTTTCTGGACATAAAAAATAATAAAAGATTTTCAATTGCTTTGTTGCTAACTCTGATGGATCACACAAGTCAAATCCATTGATAATGGAAAATATAAAAAACCATAATGCTTTAATAATATCAACATAAATAACTTACAAATGGTACATCATAGTGATTCTAAAGCTTGGATGTTAACAACCATTTTCCAAGACTGGCTTCAGGAATTTGACCAAGAGGTTGCTAAAGAAACTTAGAATTGATAATTGTCCAAGTCATAAGATTGATGATTTGGTTCTCCTAAATGTTGATATTCATTTCTTCCCTCTGAATACCACATCAAAAAATCCAGCTGATGGATTATGTCATTCAAAAGACATTATCACCATTTACATATCAAATAGATCCTAAGTCAAGTTGAAAAGGGAAAAAATATAAAAGACTTAAAATGGATGAATTGCAGGCAATACATTATATTATTATTACTAAAGATTAAAGTGAAGTCATGCCTGAAACTATCCACAACTGCTGGAATCACACCAAAATCCTTCCTGGCAAAACCAATATTAATTTAACCAACCTCTCTGATAACATCAACAATGTAATGATAGGTCATCAGGTTGTTGTTACTCTTGATCTGATATCTGTTGAGGGATACTTGAATAATCCAGAGGAAATTGTATATGAAATTCCCGAGGATGATAAAATCGTTGAAATGATTGTGGAAATGTATAAGCAGCAGACAGAATTAGGAAGTAATAATAAAGAAGATGATGATAGTGTTTAACAAGTATTATTAAGTGCTAATGAAACTTCAAAAGGCTTGGAAACTGTCCATACAACAAGAAAATGCTAGCAAACAAACAAAATTTGTTAATTCTCTTGAAAAACTTATTAACTTAAAATCAAATACAATGGAATGAACTGCAACAGATAGATTCATGTCTTTGAATTTTTCTCTCCTAATGATAAATAATAAATTGATTTGTGTCACGTGAGTCACGTGCAGCCAATAAAATGCTTTAATTCCACCCTCCCTAAGTGCACGCTCTCGCTCATTCCTAATGGGTGCACTTGGGGGCTGACTGGACTTTGACGCTGATATTGATAATTCTACATGATTGCACAAGCCTAGTCTGTTAGAAATACCATACACAAGCCTGTGAAGGATGATATTCATTAGTTGTTCAACTGTACAATATCTTCTATGCTGCTCTTCTTGCTATGACCTTTATATGAGAATTAACTCCAGTACCAGCTATTCTAATTAACGTAATTATCAGGATAAATGAATGTGATTTTGGGCATTCAAAGGGATGAGAATATAAGGATTGGGGAGAACAAGGTATGTGATGGTTATTACATTTGGTGCAAAATCCATCATGTTTTGAAACAGTTGATGACAATAATGATGTTGATGATGTTGATGATGTGTTGTAATGGCGATATAGTTGTAATGGTGTGTTGCAACGATGATGTTGATGGAAAGATGTTGATGATGAGGATAGTTTATTTTGAACTTCATTCATTAGCATATTCTTTTACATAATCCCTTTCTGTAACACCAATCTTTGACCATATTCTCTTTGTATGAAGCTGCTGATTTCTTTGAGACTTGGAATATTCAAAATTCTTGATCAAGCTCTCGATGAATGCATCAATTTCTGACACAATCTGAGCTGTTTTGCCCTACAAAAAATTTTTTGTGGAAAATGTGTATTTTTGATACGGAATGTATTTAGAAAAACGTGTTTTTTATATTAATACTAACACTAACACTAACACTAACACTAATACGGAATAATACACTTTCAGTAGTAGTACTAGCATTGAAAAATGCAATATTAATATTGATTTAATATGGAAGGAAGGCGCGTAGAAAACATACGGAAAAAACTGCACTAAACATAATAATAATAAATATGACCAATAATTACCAAAATAGATCCTTCGTTATGACGAGATTAGTAAATTTGGCATATATGTGTTCCGTACATCTGAATATGAGATATTGCATATTACGTGCCAAACATATGGGTTATCATATCACAGACGAGAATCTAATCTTTATTTGGGATCTCCATGTAATAAAAGCTGTTGCTAATATTATAACTTTTTTTTTATTTATTATTTTTTTTTTTGTTATATAATATATAAAGAATATAAATTTTTTTTTTGAAATTTACAAAATAAAAAAAAATCTTACATGAAGTCTAAGATGATAAAAAATTTTACTATTAGTCAAAAAAATCGATCTTGTTTAATAGTTCTTTTTTTTTTTTTAATATAAGTATAAATATACACATACATATATACACAAGTATAAACCACCAATCAATCAAGTTAAAATTAAATTAATTAATTCATTCCAAATTCTAATGAAAACATTTGATTTGGTGAAGAAAAATTTAGATGTACAGGACCACCATTATTTTGAGTTGGAGGAGTGGCAGTACGAGGATGAACAGGAGTTGGTAAAGGATGTAATGTGCGTGGCGTTTCATGAGATTTTTCATGTTTACGAAGAGATCTCGAGTGATAATATGCTTTACTACAACCTTTATGTTGACAAACATATGGCCGATGGTTTGAATGGGTTTTTTTGTGGGTTGTTAAAGAATCAGGCCTTGAGAATTTTTTGCCACAACCATTAACATTGCAAGCATATGGTCTTTCCCCTGTATGTGTTCTTAAATGATTACACATCTTGTGCCTTTTTGTAAACGGTCTTAAGTTTCTTGTACATCCTTCCCAGTCACACAAATACGTTGACTATTTTTGAATATATGTAATTTTTTAACGTTAATAACATGCGTCTACTTATATAGTAATTTGACTGATTCTATCATTTTATTGATACCAACCTTGCCACTACCAATATGCGTGTCACCAACGTGAGCAATTAATAATTCCAAAGTAGTATATACTTTTGAACAATCTCTCCACATACATCGATGAACTTCATTTTTCTCGGAATCTTGATTATCCTGAGCTTTATTAGATGAAACGGCAATTGACTTTGATTTTGATGTTGATGTTGAAGATGTTGAGGTAGAAGTTTCAGCTATTGTAATTGTTTCCAATTTATTATCATTATTATTACTGTTTCCCATTCTAGAGTCTATTGCTTCCATTTGATCAAAAGAAGTGCCTGTGGCGATTAAATTTGAATTGATTCCATCTATTAAGATAATTTGAAAGTATTCAAGTAAGTCTCAAGCTCACATATAAAATTTTACTAAAAAACCTCCTTAGTTTTTAAATATACAGATACCACTAACCTTTGATATCATCTGATTTCCTTAAACGTTTATTTTTGGTTTTTTTTATATCAGAGGATGAAAATTGTGAGATTTTTGATTTGACAGTGGAGGAGGAAGATGTAGAAGAAGTTGACCGTGATCTTGAAGTTCTTTTATCACTATCTTGACTTTCGAAAGATTCAATTTTTGCAATAAGTTGTTCTTTACTTAAATTTGGAAATTGAAGTCTCCCCAATACTATGTATAATTGATCTATCGGCATATTGTTGTAAGTTACTGTCGGAGAAGACTCGACATGATTATAAAAAGGCGAGCCGGTAGAATCTGATGAATCAACAATAAAATGTAAATCAGTTTGTTTCATTCTTGTTGGTAAACTAATCGTTGTTGGATCTGGTGTTAACGGTGGTGGTGGTGGAATGGATGAATTTGTAATAATGGATGAGTTGACATTTGTAGATGTGATAATTTGGTCGCTCTGAAGATGAATGAGATTTATTTCGCCATTAATATTTTGACCACTAGTATTATTATTATTATCATTATCATTATCATTATCATTACTGTTGTTGTTATTGTTGTTATTGCTATTGTTATTATTACTATTATTACTATTATTACTATTATTATTATTAATTGATTCAGAAATACTTTGAATTTGTGAAGATTGTTGTAGGTTTGTGCCAATGTTTAAAGAATTTTTTCTGGGCGATATATTTTCAGGTATTTGATTTCTAATATTATAAATATCTGTAGAAGTTGTTATAGGTTGTGAATAATGATGTTGTTGCTGGTTCTGCACTTGTTGTGTTTGTATTTGTGAAGATGATTGTTCTATAACATCATTTGTTGATGATTTCGGTGTTTTCTTCTGAATATCCAATTGTGGATGTTCGGTCACAAAAGTTAAAGTAGGTTCAGATTGTACTGTATTATTATTATTACCATCATTATTATTTGTGCTGTTGTTATTATTGTTATCGCCGTGGTTATTATTATTATTATTAAGATTCGGGTCTACAATATTTGTCTCGTGAACAGGATGATCGCCTATATCAATCAAATTCATTTGAGGATTAGTTACTGGAATATTTTCTGTGCCATCTGGGGCCAAATTCCATGAGTTAGAAACAACTGGAGTATTGTTAATTAATTCTGCATCAACAGTATTAGCATTGATTGTTGTTGTTGCTTCTAATGTAGTGATGGATGATGATAATGGTAACGTCAGTGGTAATGAAGGTGGTAATGAAACAGGAGGAGGAGGAGGCGGCAGCGATGGTGATGTTGAAGATGAGGATTCTTGAGGCGAATGATGTGATTGAAGTGATGTTTGTTGTGCGGTAGTGGTGGTAGCAGCAGTAGTGGAAGACAATATTGTATCCAACCCTGGAGTATTGTTAATAGTCATTTGAGTGTTTACCGATCGATTCATCATACTCGCTGCGATGTTAACTGTATTATCTTGTATATCGTTAGTTAGTGTATTTTTATTTACAATTTCCAATGTTAAGTGATGATTATGTTCCGCAGTTATTGATTCAACCATTTGAGAATTTGACAAAGTTTCTACGAGTTGGATTTGATTATTATTCACTGAATTTTGTATGGTGGATTGATTATTTTGAAGTGTATTTTGATTAGGATTATCTAACATTAGTAATACTGATGACGGATCATTTGAATTTTGAAGAGGTTGGGATGGTTGTTGCTGTTGCTGCTGCTGTTGCTGCTGTTGCTGCTGCTGCTGCTGCTGCTGCTGATGTTGAATTTGAGAATTCGAGATAGCCCGTACTTCTGCTGTTACTTGAGCAACGGCCATTTGAGCAGCTTGAACCTCGGTTTGAACTTGGGCAACAGCTATTTGAGTAGCAACGTCCACTTGTTCTTGTATTCTTAATTCAACATGGGCGGCTTGTGCTTGTACTTGAGCAAATGCTGCTGCTGCCGCGTATCTAGTAGCCTCCACTTGTGCTTTTACTTGAGCTTCAGCTTCGGGATCAGCATGAACCTGAGCATCGGCCTGTGCTTGAGCCTGGGCAACAACAACGGCGGCAGCATATTTAGCAGCTTCAACCTGAGCTTGTACCTGAGCTTTTACTTGAGCTGCTTGAACTTGGGCTTCTTGAACCTGAGCTTCTGCCTGATACTGAGCAGCAACGACAGCGGCTGCAGCTTGGGCTTGTACTTTAGCAACAGCATTTTGAGGATCAGAATGAACTTGAGCCTGAACTGCGACTTTATTATTAATGATCATTTGATCAATCATTTGATTTTGTTGTTGAATGTCTAAATGTTGTTGATGATCTTGTTGTTGTTGCTGCTGTTGTTGATGATGTATGCCTGTAGTAGATATTTCATTTTGCCTGTTAGCATGTTCTATCATAACCTGACTTATTATAGCTTGTACAGAAGATTCTTCATTATTTGACAATATAACCTGATTTTGATTTGTAGCAGGAACAGATGAAAGCGTCAATTGATTCTGTTGATCAGTTTGAGAGACTAGAGCTTGATGTTGTTCTATTATGTTAGGATTATCATGGTGATGTATTAAGGAGGCTGGTATTGTAACGTTTTGAGGGATGTTTCCGATTGGAACTTGATTTTGATTTGAGGAATCTAAAGTGTTTTGATTAGAATTATTTACAACGATTGCAGCATGGAGTTGATCTTGATGATTTACCAAAATTGGATTAGATAAACTTTGATTTGAAGTGGCAATTTCGTTCAATTGATTTATTGTTAAAGTATTAGAAGTATTGGACAATTGAGAGGTTGACGATGAGATTTGAGTTGTGGTGGTGGTTGTAGTATTAGTAGTGGTGGGTATAGAGGTTGACTGAGTTGTAGAAGTATTGTCAATCTGAGTGGTATTAGTGATAGATGGAACAATAGCTTGTGGAATAGTTGATGGAATAGTTGTTTGAATAGAGTTGTTATTATTGACATCGGTAGTTGTGGATGCAGTAATATTTGAAGCGAGGATAGATTGTAGTTGAGATGAAGAATTAGTATGTTGAAGTTGTTGTTGGATTTGCTGGACTTGGATTTGATGTTGGAGCTGTTGTTGTAATTGGTGTTGCAACTGTGATTGTTGCAATTGTGATTGTTGTTGCTGCTGCTGCTGCTGCTGCTGTTGTTGCTGCTGCTGCTGCTGTTGCTGCTGCTGCTGCTGTTGTTGTTGTTGTTGTTGTTGTTGTTGTTGTTGTTGTAAAGTAGCGGAGGAAGTAGTGGTAGTAAGTGTGGAAGGAGTCATTACTACTGTAGATTGTTGTTGATTTGAATTATTATTATCTAATAGTATTGCTTGAGCAGGTGGAGTATTATTAGTAGCTGATAAACTATTTAATGAAATATTTGATTGTGAATGTTGTATTAAAGTTGTAGCAATTGCTTCTTGCTGTTTCTGTTGTTCCTCTTGTTGCTGCTGCTGTGATAAAGAAACCTGAGTTAATTGTGGTTGTGATATTAAATCGAATCCAAAAGCTTGTGAATCCATCTTTAAATCGAGAAAATTATTTCTTTGTCCGTTTTATTGTAAAATAATTTCTTTTTGAATACAATTTAACTTTCTTTAAAATACATATATTATAAATTATATATATATGTTTTTAATTTTTTAAATAAAAAAATTAAAATAATAATAATCGAATGATGAAAAAAGAGAGTAAAAAAATTTTTTTTGGAAATTTTGAAATTTTGTGTAAAAAATAAAAATTTTTTTTTTTTGTCTTTTTTAAAATTTAAAATTTTGAATTGTATTTTTTTATGCATTATAAAATGATTGTATAAAATACAATGTATTATATTATGATTATTTTTAATTTTCCTCCCTAAAACAATTGTTAATTTTTTTAAAGAGGTAAATTTTGTATCACTTTTTTTATAAAATTTTTTAAAAAATTACATATGTATGTTAAACCTATACATCCAAGTACTAGCACTACATAGACATCCTACAATAAAATGTCCAGAGTGTAAACTCCAAAGTTGCAAGGTTACTTTTGTCATGTTACCTTGATATAATTTAAAGATATATTATGGTTTGTTTACAACTCTATATACCTTTAAAGCTAACAAAGCCATAGAGTACACGCATGGAAAACTCTATGGCTTGAGCAAGTTGAAATTTTAATTACAAGATCAATAATGCAACGAATACCGAAAAAGGAAAAGTTGGTTTAGATGATAAATTTTTTCATCTTGTCTGATAATTATATATATATAGATAGAATAACATTTGAACTGGTATATAAGATTATTTTGTATAGATAGATGGTCATTTTTTTACACGGTCTTTGACGATTCCTCCTATGTAAAATTTTATACCATTTTTCTAACAAATCTACATACACCAGTTTCTTAAAAAAACAAATGCTTCTTTTTTATACACCAGTTCAAATGTGATTATCCGAAGAATAGAATAAGATTGTCAAAATTGTTAATTTTTTTGAAAATGGACAGAGCTGTTCGATCACGTATTGACCTTTAATGGAACTTTATGCCTGGAATGATAGGCCATGTTTCATTTGTAGGATTTTTTCACATAATTATTGATCGTCTTCCAATTGCTATTTATTCTTTAACGGATTTGCAGGTTGTACATCTAAAGGTTTTAAGGGACCCAAATTTGTTTGATGAGTCCACAACACCTGCATGTTTTACTATCATTGCATACGGCAATCGGTAATGTGACCAGGTTAATATTTGCCTTGCAGTTTAGAATGACCATATCTTGTGTTTTAAACTCAGGAAGCACAACTACATGGCGGTTCGCAATTTTTCTTGTGTATCATTGATAAAGTTAAGCGTTTATTTGTTTTACCATGAATCCCTTTTACTTGGGTTATATCACAATGCGACACGTCCTCCTTTTCCATTATATAAACCACCCATCACTTGGTTATGCCTGGTAATTCACCACGTCTTTGGTTATGTGTGTGCGAGTTTAATATCAAGTGGTTTAAGGGTATATAATAGAGTTCACCAAGATGATTCACGGTGAGAAGATAATCACAATATTTTCATTTCAATATCATCGAGGATGAATAAAGTCAACTTTATCTTCAATATCTTGATGAAACTGCAATTTGTCTTTTTTTAACTTAAAAAAGTTCTTTTTTTTTTGACAGTAATTGCGCCATTTGGCACGGAATATCAAAAACCCATTTCGGTTCAGGATCTTTAAATTTTATTTTTTGTATCAATGATAACTACAATTAGGAAAGTAACACAAATTTTAAATAAATACCAAAATCATGTGCCAGAAATTGTAACCTGGTTATTATTGGTCCAAATTATGTATAGAAACTGTTGAGAAAAACTTGGGCTCGCAGAGAAAGAATATGAAGGGCGAAGAAGAAGTTGTTAAGGAGTGGGAAGAAGAGAAGAAAGACTAGGAGGAAAAGTGGGAAGGGCAGGTGATGAAGTTGCAAGATAAATGATAGAGAAAATGGATGCTGTCTGTATCAGGTAAATATAATGAATGTGTAAAATTATTCCATTTCTTTAACTAAATAGGCGATTTGGTTTATTTAATTCATCCATTCATTTTTGTTCTCCAAATTAATTTTTTTGTTCTATATTATAAAAAGTTAGATTGATTTTCATAATGAACACTTGCATTTACAAAAATGTGGATCGACTTCATTTGGTTCCTTTTTCTGTACTGCTACCATTATATATTGTTTTTTTATGGAGATCCAGAATAAATGATTACTTATTTATTTATAACAATTCTCAAATAGCAAAATAATGCCAACGTACAATGTCATCACCCACCAGATAACCTATTGTTTTGTACCATATAAGATTTTCTCAAGGGCTGGTTTAACTATTTGAGTGGATAAGGAAATGAGCAAAGAAGTTCTTTCCTTTGTGAATGTCATGTCACATCAATGAGCATTTTCAACAACCTTCCACTACAAATTTTATTTGGACAGTCTTTCTTAGAGATGTGACACGCGCATGATTTTTTTCAAATCATGCAATGTCCTGTACATAATTCTATTCAAAAAAAAAATGCGGATTTTTAATTTTTACAAGTTATTATTGATTATATTATTGATATATAGTATTTTAAGAAATGACAAAATCAAAAAATTTGGTCTCATTTTGTTAAATTGATAATTTCATCACCTACTTTGGACATTTTCCAAAAGGCAAATCCTGTTATCCATGGAATAACAATGGATAAAACTTCCGCATTTCAGGGTGTATCTCTGATATCGATCTCCGGGATTTTGTCCGGGTAACTCATAGTGGTCCACTTTTATTCTTTTATGATAAAAGAAGAAACAAATTGACACCTGAATGTGTTTTAAATTGCAAATTAAAATGTCCAAAAAATACTAACAATGATAATATTAATATGGATATTACAATCATTGATGATGATAGAAATATAAGAGGAGAAAATTATAAAAGTGGTGATGATGATGATGATGATGATGATGATAATGGTGATAATAATAATATTGAAAATGATATTTATTTTTGTAAAAATTTTTTTAAGGTATTAAAATATCACAGTCGAAGCTAGTTAAACCGATGTACTTGTTGTTTCGGGCTCAAAGCATCGTTTTATTAAGCAAGTAAACTTTGATAAAATGAAATTAATATATATTTTTTTAAAAAAAACTCGGTTTAAAAAGTCATACATCAAAATGTTACTCCTAACGAATTTTAAAATGAGCAAGTTTTGTTCGTTGGAATAGGTTTCGAACGCATATTTCTTTAATATGGAAACAATACGTAAATCATATTATAAAATTATATACAAGTTTCTTTCTATAAACCGATATTATTCGTCTCGTCAAGTTATATATAATTGTTTTAAGCAATAAGAATATCCGTCTTATTGAGTTGATTTCTATTATAAATGAATAGGTAAAAACTCCGTTATAACAAAAAATCATTTTATCGAGTTCCAAGTATTAGAGCTTGGATCCAAATGTGTATCAATCATTTTGTATATTTAACCAATCATTTATTAGGCAAAGAATTAAGTAGGATTCATAATAATAATACATTTTACAATATATCTCTTCTAGCATTAATATTAATGAATTATTATTATTATCAGATCAAATATTATTCAATATTACCTACCATCCGTTCAAATTAAGGATGTTCACCGAAACCCCCTTTCGGTAGTACCGAACGAAAGTACTTTTGAACATTTACAACTTTGAAACCTATACCGAAATTCAAAAATCTTACCGAAATCCCAAATCATAACTTAACCGAAAGTCAAACAATGAATACATTTGACTAAAAATCGCTTATTTTATTAATCAATTATCAAAATCATTATAATTAATACCCAATTTCTTTTCTAAATTCAACCCTTTTTTTTTTTTATCCTATTACTATGATTAATCTTAAATCCGGAAATATGACGAATCCGAAAATCTGAAATCTGAAATTATTGCCGAAGTCTGGGCATTCCGATTACATGTGTAGATTAAATTTTACTGATTAGAATCATTATTAATTCACAACTTGATGCAATAAATTCTATATTGTTATTGTTGTTATAAATAAGGTCTTATTCCCTTTAACAAGATAATTACAACAATTATATTTATAATTGCTACTAATGTTACCTGACGAAATGTTACATGACGAAATGTAATTTACCGCAAAGAGCATATTGACGAAAAGGAAAAAGAGGTAAAAGTTGACGAAAAGAAAAATTTGACGAAGAGAAAAATATAACAAAGAAAATTTTTATAATAATAATTTTTATTTTAAACTTGTTTTACGTTTTACATATTTTACATTTAAAATATCACTTTAAGAGAAAATTTAATAGATTTTTTAATTTTTACTCTTTTGTCTGAGTCAAATTTGGGTAAGCCACGTAAAATTATGTTTCTTCTGGTTTGCAACTAATTTTTGAGAATTATTATCATCATCTTTATTACCATTATTAATGTCAATATCATAACATTCTTCACAATAATCATGAAAATAACTATTTTCTGAATTATGTTCACTTTCAAATTCATCTTCAACAAAGATATCTTTTACTAAATTTCTTGGATCATCTTTAATGAAGAATATTAAATTTAAAAGAAAAAATTTTGTTAAAAAAATTTTTTTAGAATTGTTTATAATATCTCCTTTTCGTCATATTTCCTCCTTTTCGTCGCATTTTTTTCTTTTCGTCAATTTACCATTTCGCCAAATGTGACGAAATTAACAATGATTTGACGAGATAATTTTCCGCCTACAAAAATATTTCGTTAATTGCTACTACTATAATTACTAGTACCATGACTTAAAAAAAGAAAATAAAAAAGGTCAATTACTTTTGCAACTACTATCTATTTATTATTACCGGTATGTACAAGGACCATAAAGGACAAAGAAAAAAATATTTTAATTGGATTGGATTAGATAGAAATGTGAATATATTTATATTATTTTATTCGAATCGTTTTATTCAAATAAACTTTCAATATAATTCGAATATACACTCAAATTCATAATAATTAGAATAAACATCATTCAAATAGAAACCCCTACTATTATTATTTATGATATTTTTGATCACGCATTTCGCGCTGTACCCAAAATCGTGATTTTGAGTTAACGCTGCGCCACCCATACATGTAATTAGTTTCGGCCTAGAAACTATTACTATACCACCACCAACCTTACTTAAATTGATATTTTTCCATTAAAATATTTTTTAAAAAATAATAAACAAGGCATAGCAATAGAAACATGGATAATTACAAAACATTACGATTTGAGCTAACAAAATTTCTATGTGTAATTCATCACAAGGATTAATTTCATTTTAGAACCATGTCCACTTAATAAAATTTTAAGGTTTAGCAACAACAACAACAACAACAACAATAATAGAAATGCAGATCTTTTTTCGATTTTCTCAAAATCGGATTTTGCAGTTATCTTCTTCCCCTTTCTATTATCCACGCCCATATAAGTCACATCGAAAGATGTTAGAAAGTCATTATTTATTTTGCATTTTTGGAATAAATTAAAAATTTAAGATTTTGGATTTTTTGTAAATTTAACTAAATACGCAGTAACTTTGGCTATTGTTTTTTTCTGTTCCCTTTCACCACCTTCTTTACCTTTACCTTTTCTTTTTCATCATCATCAATAGGTTTGTTGATAACTAATTTGCTGATTTCCGGCAAAGAATTGAAAATTGGTAAACTTGTGGATGAATTTGTTTTAATACTTAGAGATTGTATATTTCTCCATTTTCTAGGTATTTTTTCAATAATTTTTGGCACTGAAATTTCAATATTTTCAACAATTTGTCTAGACGTCATATCACTTTTACCAATCTTAATCGCACTTTAAATAATGACAACGACTATCAGAACTAATTAGAAAATAGAATATAACATTAAAAATATTTAGAACTTACAAATATGTTCCAGAACTAAAATGTAAATAAGTAGAATGACATGATTTAAGAATCTCTTTACAAAAAGTTGTCTCTTTACTTATTTTTACTGGGATTGGTTGTCTATTAAATATTAAAAATTAATTAATAAATTAATAAATTAATTTAATTAATTAATTAAAAAAATTTTTTTTTTACTTTTTCTTCTCAAAAAAATATTTTCCCAATAATTTTGGAAGATATGAAAGAATCCGATCATCAGCTAAAAATAAATCATAAGAGTCACATAAAATACGCTTATCTTCAAAACTTGAATATTTCTTCTGGAATTTAGTAATACCAATAACCTAAATATAAATAATAATCCATATCTCTCATTTATTATCATTATTAATTTTCTAAATAATATTAACTTGTAATAAAAGTCATGGTTTACTTTTTTAATATTTTTCATATCTTTTGATTTAACCCATTCTTTAAAAACCTTTTGTGGATCTTTTGTTATCAAACACAATTCTGTTGATGTATCATACAATGGGTGTTTTAATGGGCTGTATATGTAAATAATAATATTATTTTTTCTTATTTAATATTTTCAAAAAAAAACTCCCCGAAAATTGAATAATTACATTGCAATAGGCTTAATTCTCTTGTCCAAAATTCTATGAGTAGAAATCATTAGCCATATAAAATCTGGTTGATTTGCGAAAAGATCATGTTGTTCTGCATTTTTTTGTTGTTTAGAAATATAATTTAATAAAGAATCAACTGCTCTATCAGTCTAATTAAAATTATTATTAGTATTCTATTATTTATTGTTATTATGAAAGCAAATTATGTTTTATTTTACCAATTGAGAATCTAAGTTGTTTTCTTTCAACGTATTCATGATATAAACGGGAAAAAATTTTTTTTTTTTTGATTGAAAAAAAATCCCTAGTCCCACCAATCAAAAATGCAATAAAAATTTGTTTAGTCATGTGATAAATTCATAAATAGTAAAATCGGCAATAAAAAAAAATAGAGCAATAGAAATGAAATGTATTTCTATGAAATATATTTTGAGAGATATCTAGTATATGTTTGCTCATTTTTTTGATCAATGCAATATTATATTTTATTAAATTCGAAAAATAAATGAACTTGGTTGTTTATTACGTTTTTTATATAAAGAATAAATTCTCTTTCCATTCATCTGGGCAATTCGCATGATAAAGGATCTGCAATATAAGGGGAAAAAGACTCAAATTTTTGATGTTTTTTTGTGTGTAATGTGCCAACTTTAGGACTGAACATAAATTCAGTAAATTCGTGCAGCTTTGAGGCTCAAATCCTCCACAACAACAAAAATGAAATCGTAACTTTCTAGAGAAACCAATAAAAAGTCGCGAGACTAAGTGACCTGCACTAAATTTTAAAAATTTCGAGTAACCATAATAATATTAATAATAATGGACATTGTGTATTCGCCAGTCGGTTTTAGTGTAACTGTTACAGCTGGTGAAACTATTAGTGTGATTGAAAATCCTTCTCATTGGAAATGAGAAAACTCTTGTTAAAAAAATGAGCGACAACAATATAGCAAATGATATAATTGTTGATTCTGGTAATAATGATGACAGTAAAAAAGAAGTGGAAAAGAAAGAAAAAGTGAAAGAAAAAGAAGAAAAGGAAGAAGTCAAGGTTAAAGATGAAGAAGACATTAAAAAAGAAACTATCACTATTCCTACTAATAATAATATCAATGATACTGATAACAAAGAACAAGTTTTGACACAAAGTAACTAATAATTATTCCTAACATTTAATATATTGTATATTATATTGATTAACTATATTTTCAAAAAAAATTTTTTCTAATTATAAATTTATTTTTTAAAGCTTTGGAAGTAAATGATAAACATGATAAACAAAATTCACAGCCAACAATTATTAACAAAGTAAATGATGGTAAGGAAAGTCAACAAAATGAGCCTCCTAATCCAGCAACTTCACCTCTCCTTTCAACTTCTCCAAATTCCGGTGAACCAAAGAAATTTGATTTTATGAAAAAAGTTACCTCAAAATTAGATAAATTTATTAATTCAAGTGCCAGTAATGGTGTTAACAATAATGATAATGATAACGATAGTCATGTTATTAATGATGATTCTGTTTCCAAATCCCCCGAGTCACCTCCTATTCAATCATCCATCACAAATGTTCTTCCTCTTACATCAGATTCTAAATCTCAAAATTCTTCTACAACCACCACCAATACAACCAACAACAATATAACAGAAGAAATAGTGATTGAAAATAATCAAGTTAATGAGGTTAAGGATGATGAAATGGTTGAATGCAGCCAAACAAAATCACCAGTCACGTCTACTAACAATGAAACAAATACACAAAATTCAAGACAATTTTTCAACTTTGCTAGTAAATGGAGCAATGTTCGTGGATTTTTTAAACGTTCTAGCACAACTGTTGTAAATAAATCACGTGATGAATTGGATGAATCCAATAAACATGAAGAGGAACCAGGTACTATAGATGGTCAAAATGCTGATAAAAAAATTGATGAAATTTCTAAACGTGACCAATTATTGGAAGGATCAAACATTAATGATAATAAATCAACAAATCGTTCAGTTAAACAAACACAATCAACTCATCAAGCATTGGCCGAAACAGCAAATGCACTCAATGAACGTGCTGAAAAACTTGACCAACTTGATGATAAGATTGAAAATTTAGCAGGCAGTAGTAATGATTTTTTAAGAATGGCAAAGGAATTAAGTGAGCAACAACAAGCAAAAAATAAAAAATGGCTTCCTTGGTAATTAATTTATTATTTAATATGTGTATATATATGTATATATATATAATATAAACATCATCAGTTGTAATAATAATTTATATCATTAAATCATTATTTATTTGTTAATTAATTAACAAACCTTAATTGATATTTTATGTAATTATATAATTTAAAATAAAAAGTTTACTTAATGCTTTTTTTTTTAAGATCCATCAATTGTAATATGTAAGGAATTACATAAGGTTAAATCCTTCATTGATTTCATTAATCCTAGATCTCGATATTTGTTTATAAATCACCCAGTTTATCATTATTTTCTGTGAAAAAAATCATGTTAAACAATTTGGAAACCAAGAATTAAACACTGATATTCAAAGCATCTTTTTCAATTCTTCATTAAAAATTCTCAATGAATCATTCATTGTATTTAATATTAAATTTTTTGATATAGTTTATTTTAAAGTTTTTAAAATTCTGTCACCATCATTTCCCCAATAAACTCAATGTGCTTTAATACAATTATTAAATATTTCAATTAACGATTGATTGTTGTGCATTTTAAATTTCTGCAGTATTGTAACAATCCCCCAAATGATATAAGACTATTCAATCGTTGTCCAAAATTTATACATTTTGGTAATAAAATATTTTATATTGTATGTATGCTTTGTGAGAATTGAATTTTGAATTTTGTTGGCACCAGGGATGTTAAATGGTCATAAAGGGCTGATGAACAGCCTGGCTGGCCTTGAGCCAGTTCAGTCTTTTCATTAATACTAAGAAAACTGACTGCATTCTTTTGATCTTTTTATAATATAGGATTGTAGTCCAAAAGACTAAAATGGCCCGGACTGGTCCAAATCAGTCTTCTATTTCCTATATATAAAAAATTTTTACGGAAAAAAGAACAGTATTAGTATTAGTATGTTTTGCCAAACAGAAACGCGTGAGATCTTCCCGTAATAATAACAAAATTTTTTATTATTGAAAAAATACTTTTGTTCGGTATAACGAAAACCGTTATAACAAGGACCGCATTAAAAATGATAACGAGGTTCAAGTGTTAAATTTCGAATTCAACCCCCAAATCTTTCACAAAAAAATTTTTCTCTAAAAAAAAATATAATCAATAGTCAATAATGAAATATTCTTTATTTACTTTAATAATTATTTTAATAATTTTTATTTCTTATAATAATAATTTATTTCTTGCGCAACAACAACAACAATCGTCGTGGCAGTCCAATGATAAAGAACATAAATTCATTGTGTTTCATAAATTTCCACAGCAAATATCATATACAAAACGAGGAGAAGTCATAGTCATTACCAATAAAGCAGTTTCACAATATATTGGTGTTAATGATAATGTCTTATTTGATGATGTTGAATACTCATCACCTTTCTATTTAATAAAATTAGTTGATGAGAATGATCAAAATAATGTTCTGAAATCTTTTACAAAAATGGTATTTCACTAATGATTATTATAATATTAATTATAATTTATATTAATTGATGAAATTTCTCTTTCTCTTTTTTTTCTCTAGTGTTTATTAAAATCTTCGAATTTTGAAGATGAAATTATTATACACTTGGACAAACATAATAAACCATTTCATTTTGATTATTACACTTTAAAAGATCAATGTAATGATACAATAAAAGTTCAATCTGACAAGATTAATAATGAATTTAAGACTTCAATTCAAACAGTCAGATCAATTAATGGTGTGAGGTAAATTATTAAGTAATAATTATAATTATAAATAATAGAATTATAAAGTAATAATGTTTATTTATATTATATAGTCCTAGATTACACAAAGCTTTGCCTGTAAAAGAAGATGGAACAGTTGAGAAACCTCCTGAAGAAAAATCATTTCTACAAAAATATTGGTAAAAAAAACTTCAATTAAATATAATGAAAAAACACATTTCATACCCATGAAATTACACGCTCATTAATATGCAATTCTACTATTATTTTTCCTAGGTGGTATTTGATACCTCTTGCTTTATTATTAATGACAAGTACTCCACCACCAGCAGAAGAAGGTCAACAGCAGCAGCAGCAACAACAACAACGTGGACAGAATCCGCGACCTGCACGTTAATTGGTTTCTGGGTTATATATTGTTATATGTGTGAAAGAAAATTTCATGAGGCTTGTAATAAAAGAACTTATTATTAAAGATATTTTATTAAATGAATTGACATGCAACTTGTGAAAAAATATATCAAATTATCTAAAAAAGTGAGAGTAAGTTTTATTTTAAGAAAGATATTTATTAAAGATGGTTATATATACAGTGTATTCATCAATTACTTTGTTGAATATAAAGAATTAATATAAAATTCTATCTCTCCATTTTTATCAATTCACAATGATTTTTCATAGAACTAACTAAATTTTGTGCTGTTTCTTGAGGAATGTTCTCCCATTTCCCAAATGTAAATTGCTAGTATCTTTAGGCATCCTTATTTCTACATTCTTTTTCACAATCTGCCACATGTTCTTGATGGGATCAGACTAGGATGACCAGTTTATAAAGCAACTGGCAAAAGCTGGTTTGGTGTAATATTCACATAGCAAAACAAGGAGTTTTTGCCATTCAATGAAATTCACCCCAAGTCATTACCTTTTGTCATGATTTTTGACAATATTCTAATTGGTCTTTCTCCATTTTTATATTTTATTATTAAAAATATCAAAGGTGATTTCATCTGCAAAAATGGTAGAACTCCAGTTATCATTCAAATGAGCTTGTGACCCATGTTTTGAAGCAACCATATGATTGCTGGTTAGCATTGGGGAGGCAAGTGGTATAGAGCTATGTCCCTTGTTTTCATATGTCACCAAATATTTGATGTGAAATAAATAGGTATATTATGTGTCCTTGAACTTTAGCTGCAAGTTGTACAGAATTACAACAAACCAATTGCCTGATTGAAGATGATTAATGTAGAACTTGAATCACAACATCAAGCAGTTCCAGGAGATGTTTTTAATAATAAGTATAATGTTAATTTATGAATTAGAAGATTGATATAGATTTTAGTTATTAAAATTCTTAATTTTATCTGTATTCTTCCTCTCCTATTCTGTTATTCTGTCATTCTGTTATTGTGTTGTTCTAATAATTCTTTACATCTATTAAAAAAGAAAGAATTGATCATTTGTTATTTGTATGTTACTTGAATTCTTATTTTACTATATTATGTATGTAGATGGTCATGTGAAAATCATGGGGTGCACTTATAGAGGATGGTTTTATATGGAAAAGATCATGCAATGCAGAATATAGAGGGGATGCATTTATCCCTAAGCCCCAAGCTTAGGACTGGGATACAGAGTGCACTTATGGAGGGCTGACTATATATATACTTTTGAGTAAAATTAAAATGTCAATAACAGTAAGTAATATTTGTTTGTATTGAATTTTGAATACTATATGGTTCTATTTTCTTTTCAATGATTTTAATGCATTATAAAATTATTTTGTTCAAGAAAATTAAAAGTAGTTTCAAAAGCTTTTACAGCTTCATTTATTGAAATGTTAGCAATAGTTGTACTACTTACAATAACATCTTCCTCTTCAATTTGCTCAAAAGAACCAAGAATTCCTCTTTGGTTGGAATTTAATCATCATCAATTGATATATATTCCTCTGCTGTTTATGCTGAACTGAATTTTAATCTATTATCAACATCATCTCTTTGATCATTTATAATAATTTTTATTAATGTTGTCACATCTCCAATTTATTCTTCATAATCTAAACAAAGGATTATTCATGCAAATTCATTATTGAAAATTTATTTATATTATTATTTAGTAATATGGAAAAATTATAACCTTGTATATCATGTGAATCCATTGTAGCACAATTAGTATGGTCTATAATTGCATTTTTGGATGAATTAAAAATTTGACCCATTTTGAAATTTGGCCACATGGAATAGTAATATATGTTTTCGCACAAATAGTTTTATCATCAATTTCTGGCTCAATCTGAGAGTTTCTTTTTTGGTGGCATATTTAATTATTACTTAAAGACAATGTACAGTGTGTAATGAAAATAATGGCAGTTCATGATACAAAATTTTTTGCATAACAAACAATAAAATGTGTTGTTTATCATGATTCACATATCTTTACCAACTTTCTTATATCTCATTGAAGACATTTATAAAATAAAAGCTTTCATCTACTTCTACTTTCTATCTCTAGCATCTTATTAGCATGTGTTACACAAATATTGAGGCCAACATTCAAAATGGTTCACATTATTTACATTGCTAACTGGCCTGATAATGTTCATTCATCAAGGAAAAATACATCAGTAAGTGAACATAATTTCAAAATGCTTAAAGAATGAGTGCTATTGAACATAAGCAGGATAATGGCTGTCTGATACAAAAATAATTGGATTTCTTTTATTTTTTAATTGACAAAGTTCTAGAAAATATAAAAGCATGTAATTTTATATGCAAAATCTTCAGGACTTAAGCTACAATTTGATATAATTTTTATGTACATTTTTGCATTAGAATAATTATTAAAAAATTTCACATCAAAAATTTTAAGTCAAATTTTGTGAAAGGCTTTAAAAAAAAGATGTGAATTAGCTTTACAAAAAATTGGCAATATAAATTTTTTTATTTCAAATTATGGTTGCTTGCCAAAACTCCTCCAAAAATCAATCAGCAGAATTTTGGCAAGATACACACTAATTGTTTATTAGAGTTCTGGCAGTCATTAAGAGACTTTAGCAAGCAACCTTATTTCAAATGAATCTAAAGCTATTTGATTATGCTTTGCAATTGTGCAAATTATGGTTGCTTGTCAAAACTCCTCTGGAAATCAATCAGCTACACAATAATTGTTTATTAGAGTTTTGACAGAGTTTCACAAGCAACCTTAGTGCAAACCCACCTTCACCTATCTTTCAATATTTGTTGAGATATGCAACTTTTTGTCACCATCATTATTTTCATTACACACTGTATGTAAATTTGTTGGAACACTTGAGTAAAAAATATTGGCATGTTAAATTTACTATTACTGTTACATGGATTTTTTATTCCGACCAGAATTTTAAAAAAGGATCCGCAGATGTCATAATTTCCACCCAAATTTAAGCGGCCAAATTCCTCGTGAATATAGTAACATACATTTACTAAAAAGGAATAGGACTCAACAACCCACCAATATTTTAAAAAAACTCTCTGTCACGCTAAAGCCTGAGATTTAATCTATGTCATAACAAAGCTATTTTTTAAAAAATGATATGCAGAAATGGACTTCTATTCTTTTAAAAATCACATGCAAAATTTGTGGTTATAGACTTCCCGCACCATACTTATTACGACTGTTATTATTACCAGAAAATCCGTTGTCCGTTGTAATAGTGATAGTAACACAATTTAAATATAAAATTCGTTGAAACGAGGGTTCAACTGTATAAGATAATTAATTGGGTATCATATAAAATGGGCATTGTCCATATAAATTTTTTGTAAATTTGTATGATCTCTATTATAAATTGTTCGGGAGAAATCGAAAATTTTCAGTCCAGTTTCGGTTGGGTTTGGGTTGTTGGTTGGGACCGAATCGAAAAAACCAAATCCGACCTGAAATCCAAAAACTTTTTGGGATTGTATCAATTATACTTGAGGTCAAAATTATTGAATTGCGATTAAAAATTGCATTGCACTACCTACCATAATTTTATACAACTGACGCAAGACTCAATCCATGACGCAAGCATATTTCATGACAATTTATTAGCTAACAAACCCCTTTTGGCTATGAAACATTGATGTTACATTAAAAATTAAAAATTAATTCATGAATTGTGTCATGTGTAATGATGGTGGCTGAAAATTATTTTAGCAAATCCGAAATGGTTTCGCCACAGAAATTAATAATTTAGGCCCCTACTAGTGATGAAACTTTAAAATTGCTTAAACTGTGGTTGAATCGTCAAAATTATGAGCAAAGTTTTATATTTTGATAAATAAAACGAATTTATCGAAGTGCCATCCAATCGTATGTCGGACATGTGATCTGTAGTCTCTTTCATTTAATAATATTCGTATTTTTTATTTAATATTTTGCATTTAATATTTTTATTATTTATATATATATTTATTTATTTATTAGTCCCTTTTTGACTTAATTCGTTTTGTAATAATAATAAACACTTTTATAATTTAACAATAAAACAAATGAATTCTTTTTTCTGTTTAATAAAACACTTGTGGCCAGAAATTAAACAGTGGTTTTCGTCTGCAGTTTAGGTTTCAACAATTTCGTCAGATTTTCAGAGGCCTAAAGTATGGATGAATCATGCCCTGCATCATGAATTACATCTTGCGCCCCACGCATCACGAATTGTGTTTTGCGTCATGCACAACACCAATTGCGGCTTTTAAAATCAATATAACTACAGTATATATATATATACACACAGTGTGTTGCAAAAAAAAACCGGAAAAATCAAATTAATCATCATGGAAGAACCATTGCATTATTTCACATAGAAAATATTTTCATTCGATAGGTTAAGAGCAGAACTTTTATTGAATATATTTTAATACGAAATACTTTCACTATTGATTTTAATTACAGGCTGATATCTTGATTTTTTTTATCAAAATAAATTAATTAGAAATAAATCAGGAGTTGGATTCCACTTTTCTATGATGAATCATCCACATCTTTAAATTTTAACTTCTATCACATTGTTTATAATTGATTACCAAAATTTTAAAGAAATCTAGTACATAATAATAATAATAATAATACACAGTGAGTCTCGGTATAGCGGATAATTTGGGCAATTAGAACAAAAATTTCAAAAATCCGTTATACCGAGAT